TCATCCATTGATGAGTACCTAGCTTGAATATATATACATATCGTATCTATTATATATAGAAGGAGCATATGTCTTAAAAGCATGCTGGTCATAATGGATTTTTTTTAGTATTATCTATTCTTTGATTTTTTTGTAAAGCTTTCCTTGTCACGTTAAAGCCACTAGAAGCAGAGTTAGCAAATTCATCACTTCTATTAGGCTATCTGCAAGACCCTTAGGCCTGACTTCAATAACTGTGCTAGATTTTGCAAACCCTTGTGGTGAAAAGATAGTTCAATTTTGAATATATCTAGTTTGAAATTTTTTTAGGACATCAAAGTACTGAGACCCATTATTTTGTTAAATATATATATAACTTTAAATTTTACATAAGAAAATTTGGAAATAGTTTCGCATCCTTTCTAGTATCTCTGTGTCTTGATAGAAGAATATTCTGTGTAAAAGTTCTAGATTTAGGATAATTTTAACCAAAAACAAGGCTTCCCAAAACAAAAAAACAAGCCACAAAAGAAGTCAGTAGATGATTTAATATAAAGCACCAAAAGCTGGGCTTTCACCTCTAATTTTTTACTTTGTTATCTGGGGAGTGCTAGAAAGATGACTCAATGGTTAAGAGCACTTTTGTTCTTTTAGAGGATCCGCGTTCAGTTCCCAGTACCCACTTGGTTGCTCACAACCTCTGTAACTCCAGTTCTAAAAGAACCAATGCCTTCTTCTGGCCTTTGCAGGCGCCAGGCATGCACATGATACACAAATATACATTGCAGACAAAACATTTGCTCATACACATACAAATAAAAAACAGATACATACTCCAATAAAATAATGAAAAGCAGTTAATGGTCATTACCTAATTACCCTTGCATGTGCCCTTAACCTAATAACCAGCATGACTTCTACGAATTGTCAGATTTTCAAGTAGAATTAGATTCCCCTTTCCTAAGACATAGTTACACTATTCCTTATTTCAGTCTATCACTTATTACACAGTATTATTTGTGGTAATATTTTATTTTTGCTTTAACAAATAAAGCTTGCCTGAAGATCAGAGAAGCAAAGCAGCCATCCAATAGTTCTTACCTCTATGAAATCCTCAGACTGAATGGGGTATCCTGTCTCTACATTTTTTTCAGACTGAATATAACTACAAAACCTCAGACTGAATTCTGAGGTCCTGTCTCCTTCCGCTTTAGATTTCTCCCTCTGCCCAGCCATATTACTTCCCATCTCCACCTACCTAGTGTTGTGATTAAAGTTGTGAGCCAGCATGTCCTGTTTCTCTTTTAGACTGAGTCAATCTTATGTAGCCCAAGGTGGTCTAGAACTTACAGAGATCTGTCTGCCTGTCACCCAAATGCTGGGATTAAATGTGTGTGCCACTACTGCCTGGCCTCTATGGCTAACTACTAGCTAGACTCACACTCTGATCTTCAGGCAAGCTTTAAGTGCTATATCACAAACAAAATATCACCACAACTGTTAGTCTACATGTTGTATTCTTTTTCTTCTAGAGAAAAAAAAATAAAGTACACATAGCATGGTTCTTTGCTTTATATTTCTGTGACTTGGGGGCCGTATTTGATAGAAAATGAGAAGTGTCTGAAATTGGTCTGATAATAGGGCAATTGTGAGCAGATTCATACCCAGAGCAGTCTCATGTGGAGGGAAATGTATGATGAAATTGTGGTATACTCTAGAGGAGCAAAGGATCATTCTTGAATGTCTTGTGATACAATTTTGAAGCATTCATGGAGGATGCACAGAGGTTGATGAAGACAAGACTCTTTAGGGTGAGTGAGCATCTATATGAGGCATTTGTTGTTTATTGTTTCATTTAATGTTTAAGAGTGACTGCAAAATAGATATTATTGTAAGAATAAGGATTAGAGACATTAGTTAATATGATCCCAATGATAATGAAAAGGGATAGTGGAATAATATCTGAAGCCTGCATGTTTTCTAATGCTTTTTCTGATACACCAGGTTTTACAAGTCTATGTCTAAAATTTAGTTAGTAAGGGCATGACAGACAATAATGCATTAAATTAGTATGCCACAATAAAATGTTTTATAGTCAAAGAAGTTGAGAACACTGAAATAAGTAAGTTGATCATGTATTTGTATTGCAGAATTGTTTAGATCTCTAAATATTCTATGTTTTCTCATTAATCAATAGCAAGAAAAACATAGCACAAGCTTTTTGTTAATTAATTTTATTATAGATTCACTTCTTTCATAGGTTATCCACTGCAATATCTCATGAGATTAGCATTAGTACAGAGCTGAGAAATACTGCCTTCTTCCCTGATAGTAAATATTACTTCTTGCAAAGCCTCATTTTGTTTAAAAAGGGAGAGTAACCAAAACAAAACTGGAATGATTTCCACCCATTTATTCATTCAGCAGTTATAAGCAATTGAATCATATGGCTCAGATTTCTGCTAATCCAGTTTGATTGTATGTTGATTTTGGAAGTTCCAGCATGATTCTTCTTGAAGTAAAAAACTGCTTTGTGTGGCAAGTTCTGATTATAATCTTTTTAATGAGTCATTATGGTATAAGGCCAGGTAGTTTACTGGTCTTTGATCACTGCTTTACTTTAGATAGCCAGTTGAATTTTAATTGTTTATTTTGTTGAAGAACATGATCCACATTTTCTGTGTGTGATCATAAAAGATAAGAGAAATTACAAAGTAGCTACTGGATTGTCTCTTTATATTTCCACCTAGTTATGAATTCAGATGGATTTCATTCCCATTATAGCTTCAAAATAACTAATATACTGTCTGTCATATATGTGTCAGTATGATTTCATTTCATGTCATTTATTTATACATATGAGAGAGTGTCTGTGTAGTATGCACATGCATGTGTGTGAGTTTCACAGAGGCCAAAGGGGGTCATCAGGTGTCCTGTGTCACTCTCCACCTTATTCTTTTAAGGTAGTATCTCCTGATGGAATTGGAACTTATTTTATTTTCCCTAGTGATAACAGCCAGCAAGGTTCAAGAATCTTCTAGCCTCTGACATCCTCAGTGCTTTGCAAAGAACATATATAGCTTGTTTTGCGGGTGCTGGGATCCACACCCCAGTCGTCACACATATACGGGAAGCAGTCTTCATGACTTAACAACCTCTCTAGCCATGAGATGTTATTTTAAATAAGCATATCATAATAAAATGATATTTCAATTTGACATAGTAGATAGAAATATAGACTCTGGATACACTCCTTAAGGACTCTGCCCCACACTAGTGATGTGAGTGACATGGAAAAAGTAATACATTTTATCTGATATTTATTTACCTCTACTATAGTGTAAAATAAAGGGCCAGTGAGATAGCTTAGTGGGTAAGAGCATTTACTATCAATTCTGGAGACTTCCACATGCTGTTTTCTAATATCTTCATGTGTACTATGATGCATGTGCTAATGGACACTCACAATAAATATAAAAATAAATAAATAAATGCAATAAAACATTTAGTGCTGAGAATATAACTTGGTAGCTCAGTGGTATAGTGCTTACTTTGTAACTATGAGGCCCTAAATTCAATTGCCAGTGCCACAAAATATTAAATAATATGAATCTTTATCTAAAGAAATATTGAGTTTAATGAGTTTAACACACACACATACACACACACACACACACACACAGAGAGAGAGAGAGAGAGAGAGAGAGAGAGAGAGAACACTACCTCATATACATCTCTGAAATAAAGTACTATTATGTGGTTATTGGCAGATTAACTTCAGCATATATCAAGCCTATATTGTTATGTTTGTGAATCTCTTAGAATCTAGCTAAGAGATGGACTGTCCACCAATACTATTGATCATTATACCAGAATGCTTACCTCGTTGTAAAGCAAGAAAAAAGTTTGCTTTAGAAATGAACAGTACTGATATTAATTGCAGAAGTTTATCTCCATAGAAACAAAAGGAGCACACAGGCACATTTTTCAAGAGGTTAGCAACATTATTGCAAACCATATCTTTAAACACCAATCAACTGTTCTTCTGGACGTCACCACAAAAAAATTGAATAAAGACTCACATTGACATTAGTCACTGGATGCCAGATATACAAAAGAAGAGTTTTTTGGTTCTCAGGGAAGTGAGAGTCCAATTACAAAGAATAAAACCCAGTCTGTACAGAGGCACTCTGGCCCATGGACCAAGGTAAGAGAATCCCTTGAGAGAGGCTTGCACAGAAACATCGTCTTTGTCTGTGAATGTTAGGGCAGGGCTTTCTGGAACAGGTATTTCTATCACCACACTCCATAGTGCTGTGGAAAGTGTTTCAGGGAAATAGAAGACCTTGTGGAAGCAAGGAATACAGGCCATAGTAAGAAGAATACAAATACTTTGAGTCTCCAACCTGAATGATAGAAAAATCCCACACACACCTATATAGCTATTTCTGAATCACTTATAAATTTGTCAAAAAGGGCTGCCCCTCCACCCCATATTGCTGATTTTAGTGTAATGAAGATACTGATTTGAGGGGTGTGGCCTCTGGAAAAAAAAGAGATAAAAAGGTGCCGGGAATTGTAGGCAGAGAGCTAAGAATAAAGGCTATTTTTTTAAAAATAATCACTATGTTTATTAATAATGACATATTAATGAAGGATTAAAGACTTTCTCTAAGGAGATAGTTAACAGTTTTGATTTATAAAATTGCCATTCTATAAAATATTAAGATATAAAATAATGTGGTTCCTTTAATGCTTTCATATTTTATGTTGAAGGACTTGCCGCACTTTGCCGTTTTGCCGCTTGCAGGCTTCCATGGTTCGCTCCCAGTATTTCCCTTTGCACGAGCTTATCACTATCACGAATTCTAGTTCTGTTTCTTAAAACCTTTTATGGGCTTTTAGCTTGTTCTATAACCTATCCCACCTCTAGTGAAAACGGATGTGAGGTAAAAGGTTTTGTTTTACAGCTTCTGGTAGCAAGTGGATGTGACGTATACTGACTTCCGGTTCGGCTATTAGCAGCTGGCGACAACGCGACGCACGAAGGAGCTTGCCGCTGTCGTTGCTCTTCAGCCAACTGAGGAATTGTAGGCCCTGTGGTGGTTTAGAAGGTAAGGATATACGAAAAGTTTTAGGTAAGTGGGTGGATAAACCTTTCCTCACAAATAGGATGGCCTCTGCTCCTTACTATGCCTCTACCACCGGCCTTGGTGGGGAAGGCCTGTCGCACGGATCAGGTTTATGACGGAGTCTTCCATTTTGGAATCCTAAGGGGTGATTTCTCTGACAGAGTTTAACCCTAGTCCGTAGAGGAAAGATTCCAGACAATTCCGGACGGACGCCAAAGTACGGTAATATATTGTAGAGTCTCATGGACCTTTTTCAGACAGAACATAGCTTATGGAACCGCACCCTGCCGTGAGCCCACAGAAACTGCTGTGTCATGGCACTCAGACTGCTAGAGTTACGTGGCAGTGTCTCATGGAAGGCACGCGTCAATTCCAATGTCCGTACAATTCCAAACCAAACTGGGTCCCACTGTGAGATGGGAAAGTAGGCATGAGCTCCTGTCTCCAACAACAAGCTTTTTCTAAATTAACAGCTTCTTGCAAATGAAAAATTAGTTTCTCCAAGGAAATTTTCCTGGATATCCAAACCACGCTTACAGGCAGATTCCATGCCTCTGCCCAGCAGTACATAGCCAACACAAAAGAAACTCAGAGGTATTATTGGAGGTTTTCCCCTCGTAATGTAATGTTTTATTTGGACCCCTTTCTGACCCACCTCCATCCTCCGTTCTGCCAACCCATATCCCCTGCCTCTATGCCTGCCCTGGCTGACTGTACAGGCCCCTCTTCCCACCCCAGCCCTCTCCTCCACGCCCCCACACCCTGCCCCCGCCCCTCCCCCCACTAGTCTTTTTTAAAATTTATTTATTAAAAATTTCCACCTCCTTGAACAATACTTCCCACCTCCCATTTCCCTCCACCTCTCCCCTCCCCTCCCCCTCCCTCTCCAGTACTAAGGGCAGTCAGGGTTCCCTGCCCCGTGGGAAGTCCAAGGTCCTCCCCACTCCATCCAGGTCTATAAAGGTGAGCATCCAAACAAACTAGGCTCCCACAAAGCCAGTTCATGCAGTAGAATCAAAACCCAGTGCCATTATCCTTGGCTTCTCAGTCAGCCCTCATTGTTAGCCACATTCAGAGAGTCCGGTTTGATCACATGCTCCATCAGTCCCAGTCCAGCTGACCTTGGTGAGCTCGCATTAGATCAGTCCCACCATTTCAGTGGGTGGACACACCCCTTGCGGTCCTGACTTCCTTGCTCATGTTCTCCCTCCTCCTGCTCTTCGTTTGGACCTTGGGAGCTAAGTCCAGTGTTCCAATGTGGGTCTCTGTCTCTATCTCCATCCATCGCCAGATGAAGGTTCTATGGTGATAGGCAAGATATTCATCAGTGTAGCTATGGGACAAGGCCAGTTCAGGAACCCCCTCTGCTACCCAAGGAACAAGCTGGAGACATCTCCTTGGACCCAAGAAGGCCCCAGACAAACAAGTCTATATGAGACCCCTCTCATTTCCAGGTAGTCCAGTATTTCACAAAGATGGGGCTGTTTATATGTTGACTATTTTGTTTTAGATATTTTTAGTATAGGTAGAATCTGAGATGGGGAAATTCAAGTTGTCAGAGAGGAGGACTCTGAGGGAAGACTAATGGACCTCCATTTCAAGTATATACTAGATTCTTCTGCCACTACCAAGGTCTACTGGTCTTAGAGAGGGGAAGGCACTGTTCTAAGTGAGACGAGTTGGCTCTATCTGCCCAACCAAAGAATGAGACAAGTTCTGTTTGTAAACAGTATGTGGATCCTGAACAAAGATGGAGGGGATTCCCGAGCCCTTAGAGATTTGCTGCTCCTACCCTGAGAGACCCTACTTTCTGGTATACTGATTCGTGGTGCCAGGATCCCCCCGCCCCCGTAGTGTCAAGAGAGTAGAATCAGTTTATCAGAGAGAGGTGTCTCGGGCCTTGACATAGTCAGTTGGAGGGTGGAAAGAGGACACTTTCACAGCAACAGGTGAACCTAGTCTCATATACTGCTATTAAGTGGACACATTCACTCCATAACTTGTGGACCTGGCAGAGTGTATTTCTATACAGCGGTTAGACCAAGTCTGTGCTTGTTGTCTGTGACCTGAGCCCCTCTCCTGAATTGCTTATATAGAGGCTCCAGGAACAAAGGACATAGCTACTGTACTGAGTTCATAGCCAGAGACCATAGAGTAGAATAGAGTTCGTAGGAGGCAGGCCCATGAGACCCAAGAGAACTACCTAAGATAAATATTGAGAAAATCTTTGTCACTGCTGACAGCTTACCAAAACCTCACATTTTTTTCTCTCACCCTCAGGCTACTCTTCATCAACTTTCTACTGCCAGTTACGTGCAGAACAAATTATAATGTCCCACAGGCATGAGCAAGGCCCTAAGGCCCAAGAAGAGAATGAGGGTCAGCTCAGGGAGGAGGTTCCTGTAGCTCAGGAGGTGGGCACCCCAGAAGGAGGGCCTGCTGCTCAGGCTTCCTGTTCCTCCTCTGCTCCCACCCAAGCCGCTCTACCAAATGAGCGTTCTGCTCGTCAAGCAGAGAGACGTCAGAGCATCTCAAAGGCCTACCTCTTCTCCAGGTTCTTGCTCAACACTCAGCTACAGTATAAGGTGACAGAATTGGTGAAGTTTCTGAGTTTCAAGTATACAACAAAGCAGCCCGTCACAGAGGAAGAAATTCTGCAGAGTGTTGTCAAAGAGTACAAGCACTACTATCAAATGATCTTCAAGCATGCCTGTGAATGCATGGAAATGGTTTTTGGCATTGAAGTGAAGGAAGTGGATGCTATCAACCACTCCTATGAGCTCCTTAAAGTCCTTGACCTCACCTATGATGGGCGCTCGAGTGATGATGATGACGAGGGCATCCCCAAGATAGGCCTCCTGGTGCTCATCCTTGGTGCCATCTTCATGGAGGGCAACCGTGCCTCTGAGAAGAAGATCTGGGACATGCTAAAAACGGTTGGCGTATTTCCTGATCAGCATGATTTCATCTGTGGGAATCCCAGAAAGTTCATCACTGAAGATTTGGTTTCAGAGAAGTACCTGAAATACCAGATGATACCTGGTAGTGATCCTCCAAGTTATGAGTTCCTGTGGGGCCCAAGGGCCCATGCTGAAACCAGTAAGATGCAAGTCCTGCAGTTTTTCTCCAAGGTAGTCCGGTGCAGCCCCACTTCTTTCACAGCTCTGTATAAGGAAGCTCTGAAAGATGAAGAGGAGAGAGCCCAGAATGCCCTTGCCTCCATGGCCAATCCTGTTGCCCAGGATGACTCAGGTTCCAGGAACAAGCCCAGCAGCTTCTCCCGCCCTGAGTAAATTTAGGCTGGTTCTTCACACAGTTTAAAGATGGCAGTCAGATATTCAAGTAGAAGAGAGTTTAGGTTCTTTTTCTTTTTGTTCCTTTTTAAAGGGCTTATTAGCTTCAGAGTCTCCATTCATTAACTGTTCTTCCCACATTTGTCGCTGTTTGTTTCAGAAGAAGAAGTTTGCTGCTGTGAAAAGTGTGTTGAGAACATTTTCAGCTTTGAGATCTAGAGGAAGATCAAATAGCATTGCAACAGAGCTTTCCTTGGACATATGAAAGATTCCAGTAGTAAAATAGGATCAGTACTTGCAAGAAAGATATAAAAAATGGCAGATTCTATTGTTCTTGTAGTCTGCTTTGTGAAACTAAAGATATGCACCTCTTACTTAAGTTGATTTACTGAAGAATGCATGTGCAATTAAAGGTTAATAAAGTGCACTGCCCTATTTTCCCAGCAAAGTGTCTGTTCTTTGGAAGGCATGTTTATATCAGGGGAAATTCATAGGAAGATGATGAAATAGTGTGAAAAACAAAGATACAAAGATTTAAGTTAAAGGACTGAGGAGGCGAGACACCAAATAACAGCCAGAAAGTATCAGTGCTTTGAGCCAAGGCATTTGGGGGCTTTGGGAAATTACAAATCCTCGGTTAAGGTAGATGGTGGTAGGGACCAGAATCACAGGCAATGTGTCTGATACACGAGAGAAAAACTTGGAAGGAAAAAACTTCTCAGAGAACTTCTCTTTGAAGTATGGCTAAACAAGAAATAAACCTCCACTGGGGACAGGGGCCATTATAGAAGGTGACATGAACTCTTACCCTGTGCTATTGAACATAATGTCTTACCTAAGCATTGTGTACAAAACATTTCTGAGAAATCTGACAATACTGCCTTTATGTGGTGGATAAAATTCTCTAGGCTGCAGTCTTAACGCTAGTCTCAAGAGTGTATCCAATTAGCCAGGCTTGCTCAAGAGTAATAGGAATAGTTTAATGGTTAAAGAGGAGGAAAGCTTACACTACAAGAATGGGAGTTCCAAAATCCGATAGGTCTGGCGTGCACCTACATCTCCCAGTTTTTCTACCTGGGCTCCAGGCAGCCACACCCTAACCAGATGTGATGGTTGAGCTTCCCCATCATCAGAGAACCCACTTCTCTGTAAGCTCATTTTTTTTATTTTTTAACTTCCTTTTGATTTATTCTTTGAGTCTTACACATCATACATCTTGATCCCATTCATTTCCCATCCCTTTGTATCCACCCTCTGCCCTTACAAAGCCTCCCCATGTAAAAGGAACAGCGGGCTGCTTTCCTGCCACCTGGATCCCAGCTAGCTTACACCCGAAATAATTACACAGAAGCTGTATTCATTTAAACACTGCCTGGCCCATTATCTATAGCATCTTATTGGCTAACTCTCACATCTTGCTTTAACCCATATTTAGTAATCTGTGTAGCACCACGAGGTGGTGGCTTACCAGGAAATATTCAGCATGTCTGACCTGGGGGCTAGCTGCATGGCGTCTGCCTCACTGTCTTCTTCCTCCCAGCGCATTCTGTTCTGCCTACTCCACCTATCTAAGCTGCTGTTCTATCAAAAGCCAAGGCAGTTTCTTTATTAACCAATGAAAGCAACACATGGATAGTTAGCCCTCCTCCATCATCCCCAAAATAAAATGCAATTTAAGAGAAGGAAAAAGGAAGCTGTAGCATGACATGACACAGTGAGTCACGCAGTAGACCCTTTTATCCACATATCTTTACTTGCAAGTGTTCATTGCAGAGTCATTGATCTGGTCCAAAGCCTCTGGTTTCTACTACACTATCGCCCTCACTGGGTCTCCTCTTGGTTATTCTGCAGTTGCCCTGTGTCATGGAGATCCTGCAGCTTTGGGTCTGCAGGACTGGCCTTCCTGTGCTCCAGCAGATCACAGATGGGGTGGATATTGGAGTGGGCTAACACATAGCCCTGGTTCTGGGCCTGGGTAGTTGCAGGGTTGATCAGCCCGCCAACTCTCCCATGTCTTCACCTCCAGGGTGAACTCTCCAGCATTGCCCAGCTAGTTTTCCCCTTGCAAGAGGCTGGGCCAATTCTGCTTTCACACTCTTAGAGTGGGCTCTCCTGCACCTACACCTTCAGGGCCAGCTCTACTGTGTTGCCCAGGCGTGTGCAGGGGCCACTCTCCTGAATGCTTCAGCTGGGGGGGGGACAGGGACAGCTCTCCCACCTACGACAGGCAGTGAGGGGCGTCGGAGAGGGCCTCTCCCCCACCCACACCACCATATGGCAGCTAAGGGGCGAGGCCAGATCTCCCATGCTCATGTTCTCAGAGGGGCCTGCACCTAGTCAATAGGGTCAGCTCTACTGTGCTGCCCAGACAAGGGGAAGGGCCTGCTTTCCCAAGTGCTGCAGCTGATTTGGAGGAGGGTCAGCACTCTTGTCTGTTGCAGTAGGTGAGGTCTGGGGGGGGCATCTCTCCTCCACCCACACCACTGCATGATAGATGAATAGTGGGGACATCTGCCCCACACTTTCAGCTTTAGGGCTAGCTCCCCCACACAGGGTCAGCTCTACTATGCTGCCCAGGAAGGTGTATGGCCTCTCTCCTGAGTTCCGCAGCTGGTGCCCGGCAGGTACACCTCTCCCGCATTTATACTGTGAGGTAATTAATAATTAGGTGATCCTGACATTTGTTTTATCAACCTTATGCGAGAGTTAGAAAATTAGTGGCAGTTAAATGAATGAAAAAAAAATGATTTGGATAAAAGAGAAACTATAAAAGACAAACGTCCTGTGAATTGTATACAGCTTGGGGAAATTCCAACATAAATAGGTTTAAATAATATGTATATTATTAATAAGGAAAATTTACTGAGTTTTGTTTGAAAAATCATAAACTATTGACATATATTAGAAGTACAATATACACCACACAAATGTGTCTCGTACTTTGTATGTATCCCATAAACACCCCAAATCCTACTAGATGGCTTAACTCTTTTACAGTAAAGAACTCAGACTAATAGCACCTGGCACTTTGCCCAAAATCATGTGACTAGGAAATGGCATGTCTGAGAATTAATTCCTGATCTGAGTTCACCAAGGCCTATACTGTTTCTGCTCTCATAGTTCATTTCTCTTCTCAATAATGTTTTTGGCAAAATAAAACAGAACTTTTAAGCAAAAACATGAAAAACAGAATTGAATAAGGAAGTTGAAATAAAAACAACACAATCTGAGATTCATTGCTGAGGATTACTGGGGTCCTCTAACCTGAGCCCCAGAATTCAAAAGATCTACCCCATCCAGGTGCTACCATTTTGTTTCACCCCAGTACTTTGTCAAATTACAGCACCCTTCCCCTTGCAAGCCCCTGTCTCTCAGGACTAAGTCTGGAAACTGGCCTGCTGAAACTAGCATAACCTCTTTTGAAGGCTATATCCTGCTCCCAATGGAACAATCCCATATCAGTTCCCTGACAGAGCAGTCCCATTCTCCGCAGAAGAGTTCCAGATGTCCCAACCCTCATCAGGAATCCTTCTGATCCAATCATCATCGGTTCAATATGTGATGGACTTTGAAAAATGGTTTGATTCCTGATCATACCCACTGAACCCCTTTAATATACTCTCAAATTACTTTGTAAATGAGATGTGACCAAAATTTAATGTGGAGGAAAGAAGGGGAAAATGAGAGATTTTGAAATTAACAACTAGCATTAGGGTTTTATTAAGATATTATTTGCCCTCCCCTCAGAGCTCAGATGAGCCCTGTAGAGGAAGGGGCAGCAATAGTGTAAGATCCAGAGGGGATGGAGAACAGGGCCATCTGAATAAATTAAACAAGGCTCAGATGAGCTCACAGAGACTAAAGCAGAGAATGCAGAGTCTACATGAGTCTGCACCAGGTCCTTTGCATATGTAATATAGCTGTTATTTTAGAATTTTTATGGGACTCCTGAGTGTGAGAACAAGCAGATCTCTGACCGTTGTGCCTGCCCTTGGGATTCCTCTTCCTATTGAGTTGCTGTACCCAACTTCAAAATGATAATTTTTGTTTCATCTTTTTTTATTTTGTCATGTATGATTGTTATCTATTAGAAACCTATTCTTTTTTGATGAGAGACAGGGAGTAAATTTGGAAGGGAAGGGAGGTGGGGAAGAACTGGGAGGAGTTGAGGGAGGGGAAACTAATCAGGATATATTTTTGAGAAAAGAATCTAAGTTTTATAAAAGGGGGAAGATATATGATTTGAAGCAGGCCATTGAATAAATATATAGATGAATGAGTTTACTTAGATAGTTAAAAACTAAAGCCTCCTGCACAAGAGACAGATGAGAAACACATATAGGAAGCTAAAGTCCTAAAGCCCTGGAAGATGAATAGTTGTACCTTAGTGGACATTCTATCTCTAATGGGAAAAGAAAACGAAGTTTAGTCATCTATCCATAGTATCTTGTCTGTTTCTGGAGGTGCAGCTCAGTGATACACAAGCCCAAGGCTTAAAGGTCAATACGCCATAAGTACTACAAAAGAAGATAGGAAAAATCTTGGCTCCCAGTTTACTCAAAGGTACCGACATGTACAGGTAGGAGTGTAGCATATGTGGATTTCCTGAGTGTAACGACAGATTGCTTAGTGTTTGTGTGGTTGAGATAGATTCTGGCATTTGGGACTTATTACTGTTAACACAGATGAACAAAGGAGTGGAAAGTCACAAGAACATAAAGAATTAAAAGCTTCTGTTTGGCTCTGTGGGTATTTTTTACATATATCCCATAAATCCCAAAAGAATGCCCTAAGGATAGAAAAACTTCCTTCCATTCCAAAGGAATAAAATCCATGTTCTTGTAGCATTTATCTATGCTTTTAAAATGTTGACAAGATTCTGATGTTTGTTTATAAACTATGTCTATGGTTTATATTACTTGATTTATTGTTCCTTCATTTTATTTATTTCGGGGACATGTATGTCACCTTCTTAAGAAACTGTTTATTTTTAGTCAAACCAGGGTAGGCCAAAGGATCAACAAAGGGCTCTTGGTCTCTGATGTAGGAGGGCAAGAGAAGGAGGTGAGGGACAGAGAGAACAGGAGAGTGAGAGGGATCAATAGCAGGAGAGAATGAGGGAGGAGGAGAGCATCACAGTAAGCTAGCAGCTGATATTTGAAGTTTGGTTCCAACTGCTCTGTGTTCAGACCCCTCCTTTGATTTGGTTAAATGGGTCATTAATTTCTCCTTTTTTTGTACAAGGTTAGACTTGTTTTTTTTATTACCTATTCTTAAAAGGCCTAAGAAAAACTGTGTTAATTCATCTACTCATCCATTCCTACAACAATCACCTTCTTTGATATTCTTCCTTGTTTTCTCTATTAGTTTTGTAACATGATACTCATTTGCTGAGAAGCTGAATATTTAACTTATTGCAGGACTAGA